AAGCAGTGGTATCAACGCAGAGTACTGGTATACAACTGTCAATATAGGCTTATGGTCTCCTAAAAGCTGTCATCGCTGATAAGGGAAGGCACCTTCTTATTGTTAGGTTGCTCTTGAAAGACATTTGAAAGTGGAATTAGCTTGTGTCATCTTAGCTGCGAAGCATTATTCTGGAGCGATTTATGAGCTTTATGTGCTAGATTGGCATAATACTCAACAGGTAGGAGTGTGCTTGAAAAAGGTGCTGGGACATGAAAAACGACATCATGGAGTCTTTTCTTGTTAATTGACACAGACTCTACGTCAGCTCTTACATGCTGACCAGTGGCCGTATTCATCATTGTTATCTTGAGGTAAATCCTACCTTCAGGTAGGACTATTACTCAAAACCCTATGCATCATTGTACTTGGAGGTAAATGCTCAAGGTTAAATCAACCTTGAAAATGATTTCATGTGGAATGAATGATACCTTGAGGTGAATTTCACCTCAAGGTACATTTACATTAGAAACTCTAACTCTAGCAAAAGGCAAGGTTAGAAGTGATATCTTTAGAAATCTACAAGGATTTAGGGGCTGATTTTTTACACGAACACGGCAGTGACGAAAACTTAATTCAAATCCAATCCAATCAGCAATTTTGTCTAATTTCCTTGAGCTTAAGGTTAAGCTCAGGAAAACTGTTACCAAAACATCAGAGTCTAAAAACTCTGGATACTGACGATTTTGACTGCCTAAATCTCGCAAAATCAATATGGAAAAAAGTCCATAATTTCGTTCAGGAAATTGCAGAGCAGATAATGAACATAGATTCAATCAGCGTTCCAAGTCGCACCTACTGATATATATCTCGTTGCAAAAGGCCATGGTCACCAGTATTCTTCCTCCGTTAGTCGAAAGGTTGAAAAGATCGCTTTCCCGCCACAAGAATTAACGAACTCGTTTGTGACGGTTACACGAAGGCACTTCCATGAAATCACGGTGATTAACTAAACAATGGATCGGACCCCTCCGGCGGAGAAATGGCAGGGCCGCGGGGTTTCCCCAGCGAAGTGTCTGCCACTCGTGCTCCGAAGCCGTCCGACTTTGTGCGTCGGAGACCTCCCATTTGCGCTCCGGAGGCCTCCCATTTTGTGCTCCGGAGGCCTCCCATTTTGTGCTCCGGAGACCTCCCACTTGTGCTCCGGAGCCCTCCCACTTTGTGCTCTGGAGACCTCCCATTTTGTGCTCCGGAGACCTCCCATTTTGTGCTCCGGAGACCTCCCATTTCTGCTCCGGAGCCCTCCCATTTTGTGCTCCGGATCCCTCCCATTTTGTGCTCCGGAGACCTCCCATTTTGTGCTCCGGAGACCTCCCATTTCTGCTCCGGAGCCCTCCCATTTTGTGCTCCGGAGCCCTCCCATTTGTGCTCCGGACCCCTCCAATTTTCTGCTCCGCGGCTCGTCCAAATCTGGCGGACTCGCGGCGGGCAAATCTCTCCGCCGCGGCTCTGCCAAATCTGGCGTACCTCCGAAGCAGAAATGGCGTACCTTTGCAGCAGATCCGGAGAAGGGTCCCACTCGCCTGCCGGTGACGTCACCGCGACCTACAAGAAGGGACCGCCCCCTCGCCCCGCTCTCACTGGTCAACTGGGTCCGCCGCGACTCTGGCAGATTTCGACTACCGGCGGAGGGGTCCGATCGATTGTCTGAGAATGTGGATGACCCGACAATCGCATGCGATTGGCTTCTGAGATTTATACCTTTGCAGAGAGTGTGCCTTAACTACCCGTGCAAGGAACAACTTGGACGAATCCCAGAGACCAGCTTTGAAGTAGAGGCTTGAGGTCGGTCCGAAAGCCCCTCATTTGTGGCCATCATCAAGCAGTAGCGAGCAGGGTGGCGCTCGTTACATAAAGAATGTTTCTTATTGCCGCCCACACCATCTCACTATGAAAGGCACTCACTTAGGCAGCCTTTCGGAAACAGACATATTCTGTTTGGAATCAGCTTGAAGGCTGAGGACATGTTGTTCCTAGAGCGTCAGGTAAGTTCATGAATTGTTCCGAAGCGAGTTATTGAAGTTTTCTGTGCAAAATTTGCATGCTCATCAACTTACTGTCCACGGTACAATTAGTAAGTGCCGATAAGTTGCATTAATTCTTAGTCAGCAAGAAAAGACTCCATGATGTCGTTTTTCATGTCCCAGCACCTTTTTCAAGCACACTCCTACCTGTTAAGTATTATGCCAATCTAGCACATAAAGCTCATAAATCGCTCCAGAATAATGCTTCACAGCTAAGATGACACAAACTAATTCCACTTTCATATGTCTTTCAAGAGCAACCTAACAATAAGAAGGTGCCTTCCCTTGTCAGTGATGACAGCTTTTAGGAGACCATAAGCCTATATTGACAGTTGTATACCAGTGGGATTCACCCGATTACTGCTCCCTGGTGAAGGCGCATTATCTACTGCCTAAGCGCACCACTATACTGCTTGGCAAGCAAGTTTTTGAAAAGTGCTTAGTTGATAGCTGAAGTCAAAGTCTGAATGCTCCTAACATCTATGAAAAGATATGGAAGGCATGGTTTGCCTAGTTGTTTTGCTTGGATTCAGATAAAGATACGGCATGTGAATGAATACCAATTCAACAAGTTGCTTCGAATTTTTATTGGGGAATACATTCATTTCAAAGTAGTTATGATTGGGACAGAAACGACTAATTAGTTGGATCGTCTTTGATGACTCTGAAAATAGAGTTTGACATTATATAATCACAGACTTAAAAAGTGATTAGAAAGCAATCCTAACTCACCATAAATCAATGTTTGAGTTGATGCTATTGTTTTTTCAATAAGGGTAGTAGCCTTAGTAGTATGGTGTCCAAGTCCAGATAATAACTGGAATCAAATACATTATGTATGACCTAGTTGCAGCACTGTCACTTCGTATAATGAGAGGCAGAAACGATTACGGTACTTTGTTATAAGGCTAGCGAAACTTCTTGGGAATCTGGCAGCCGTGTTGGCCTTGTTAATGGACTTAGCCAATCAACTACTTCTCTCCATAGGACGTTTGATGTAATCAAGCTTAGCCCAGTGTGAGTCTGAGCTGCTCAAGCAGAGCGAAATTAGTGAAATCAGACTCACCTCTCCTAGATCCACCTGTCAACTTAGCCCTCCAATGCGAAGAATGCAAACAAACTACTAAATCGATAGAATACACCAAGAATTTTCAAACTAATGTTAATTATGACATCTGTTTCAATCCTATAGCATGCAAGGTTTGATGCGATTCTACTTCTATATTTGATGCCGTCATACCCATATACCTTAGATTGATGTACATTAATCATTTGTACATCTGGAGCTTTTGCGATATCAGTACCCAAAGATCATTGCTCTGTACTTACTTGATTCTTCCGTTGTTGTTGTTGTTGGAGCGGCTGTTGTGGCTGAATGGAAAGTGTAAACATTTGTGCAATGTGAAGTTTTCGAGCAGTTTGCAATAACACTTACTGGAAGGTTCTTTCTGGCAAAGAGGGCCAACGGTGTCATTAGCTGTTTCACAAACAGCGCCTTTGATTACTTTGTTACATGGACTGTTCTTAGTGCATCCTTTCTTGCCCGTCGAGTCTGCCGAATACAGTGGCTCATTCAGCTGCGGCCTAGAAAAGTTATTGGATGAAGACAAATAGGCGTGTTGGCTATTATAGATAATAGGTTTTGTAATCAGATTGACTAAAGGGCGGGCACACTTTACGCGATTTCAGTCGCGACGCGATTTGGCAATATTCACTGTCCTAAATCACTGTAACCATATTCAAATGTACAGAAGATAGGTCATTTTATGAACCCATAATGTAAATTATACAAACTATTCATGTGAAGTTTGCTAGTGTTGCATCCGAAGACTTCTAGCGAATTGCCAAATCGCGTCGCGACTGAAATCGCGTGAAGTATGCCCGGCCCTTAAGGCTCTTATGTAACGCCTCGGGCAGAGTTCATGCAGTTTCATCGCCGCGATTCTTGCAGCAAAACAAACAATTACGAGTTCATTGCATGCCGATCTTCTTGTATTTCGGTTTTAATAGAGTCACGATTAGTCGTGTTGGAGAACTATCACAACCGAAATGCGAGAAGATCGGCATGCAATGATATTGTTACAGTTGTCTTGTCACGATTTAAACGCCGTGATCTTCATCCATTTTCATTTATATTCAAAAATTCCGAGCTGGACGAAATGCAAGCTGATCGGCATGTAATGGACTCGTAACAGTTATTTCGTCGGGGGAATCACGAGGCGATGGAATTGCGTTATGTATGCTCGGCATCTCAGCGCCATGATTGACACGGATCCATTCTGCTGCTAGTGGAAGCGGTTTGCTTGTCGATTTTGAGCAAGTGCTTGGAACTACGTTAGTCAGCTTACTTGTTCTCGTATACACACGCGATAGCAACTTTGCCGTTGGCCTCACAGAATTGGTAAGAGCACCCGAATTTCAACGTCTTATTATAAATCATCTGGAAGTTAAGCATAGAGATCGAAATGTCCTTCCTTCATGTGAATTTGATTCAGTAGCAAAATGATTATAGAAACGTACATTAGCAAAAGGTTCCATAGACGTATCTGTGTACATGACGTCCGCGCTCAGAGGACTTTCGACAGTGTCACTCCAATCTTCGACGGCCCACTTAAGCATCTCAGCAAGCTTTTTGTTACCAGGCTTACTTTCTGCTCTGTATCTGAAAAGTGCTAAGTGAGTTGTAAAAACCTTGATTGTGCTTGACCACTTGACCACATGTAGACCAATGCATGCTTACGTTATAAAGTTTTCTCCTCTTCCTATCACGCTCATGTAGATCGATGAATGTTTGCAATCTTTTCCAATGGTTGACATTGCAAATCCTTCATTAGTACAATCATACTCCTGAAAGTCTTCGGAAGGGTCTGTCGGCGAACGTTCCAAACTACTTCGAAAAAGACTGCTCTCAAAAATAAAAGGAAAGAGCGATTTGTCGCTCATCTGGTCCAATTTGTAGTATCTATTATGAAGTTGGCGGATTTGACTTACTAATTTGAAAAGGCTTTTTGTTCCTGGCAGTTCTCCGTAAATCTCCTTGTCTAAAGCACGTGTAGCAACTTGTGCTCTGAGGTCGTTATGAGCCTTTGTGGCTGCTTCAATTAGTGCAGCGGGAAGCTTGCATGTGGCTAGAGTAACAAAATATTGAGCTAAGCGTCCACTTTTTGAAAGAAAGGTTGTTTATGCTTGGATACTTTTTGAGTCTATACTCACCCGCTATCGCTCCTTGAACGGCGATCGAGCAAAGCTAAAGTACATTTTTTACATGGATTATTCAAAGAAACTTTGATTATAATTACCAGTAGCGCGAAAACCATTACACCTCTTTTCCTGTGTTTGTAGGCTTCTGCAAATAGATATGAAAGCAGTAGGATATAAGGAAAGGATAAGTAGGATAAGATGCGTTAGGATAGTAGGATAAGGTACGCAGACATATTCTTTGAATTTTGTACAACTTCACAAAGCATTCAAGATCTTTGAACTTATTGCATTGAAACACACTTTTCCCCTGCTATTATCGTTGAAGGGAAAAGAAGAGGAATTGATGTGCTAGCATGCGGCCTCCCGTTTATATACATCCACAGTCAATAGAAGATCGTAATTCACTGCTTTAACTAAAATTCTCACACTCCGTTCGGTGGAAACAGAGACGAGGAAATATGGATTGTTCAAATAAATTTAGCTCATTTGCATTTATAACACAGCTATGGTTATAGCTGTATCCACTGCACTGAATTTGAACATGGGAAAATTTCCTTATACGATATGTACTCATGTACGTTTCGCTGTAAGTTGAATTGGTTTGAAAACAGAGTATGATTTTCACTGTAACGGTAATTTGCTATTGGATGGTACCTTAAAAAATGGCGAAGGTTATAGAAAGTATTTTGTGGATGCTAAAAATAGCTTTATAATAAATCAATTTTTTTTCACAAAAGTCGTGCTGTCGGAACGAGTTCTCTTAGAAGCAACAACTAAGCAGTCCAAATTCATCTTTTTGGGAACAGTCTCCATGTACATGTTCGCTCTTAGCCTCTTATTATAGGTAATGATATTTGTGACCGAGAAACGCATGTTCTCCTTTCAGCACAGAAATTCCTACCACCGAAACCATATAATCGTCTATCCGAACGATATCAAGAACGTGCAAGGATCCGGTACTGTTTTGCAACTGAAGAGGGGGAAAAGCTGAGAGGGCTGTGAATAGTTTGTCGAGTAGATTGTTCGAACGACTGCAAGAGAAAGTTGCGGGCATTTGAGAACAGTGTGCCTCAGGAAATTCAGATGCAACTCTAGTAGATTTGAGGTTTTTGAGCTCAGAAGTCTCATTCAGATCATGAATGAGTGAGACTTCTGAGCTGAATCATCCAACATTTGCATTATCTTCACAAAAAGGTCAAATGATTGCGTACGATGTGCGATCGAATAGCTGGTCCACATCCAACCTGGCTGAAAAAGAGGTTCCGGCATCCACCTAAGCTAAATCTTCTGCTACTTGTCTCGAACCATGCCGATTCGTAAGCAGCAAAAATGATTGATAAAAACAAAAAAAACTTAAAGTCCGCTCTATCCGAATGACTCTTGCGGTGTTGAAGAAGCCAAGTCGAGCGAACATGTACATGGAGACCATTCCCAAAGAGATGAATTTGGACTGCTTAGTTGTTGTTTCTAGGAGAACTCGTTTCGACAACACGATTTTTGTGAAAGAAATTGATCTTATATATAAAGCTGAATGTCTGTTTGTCTGTCTGTCTGTCTGTTTGTATGTCTGCATGTCTGTCTTACGCATGTTCCGAATAGAAAATTCTATTTCTGAACCGATCCGGACCAAACTTGGCACACATACACTTCGGGCCCCGGCGGGTGTCATAGGCTACTTTTCGTCATCGATCCTTATCGATTTTACGATTTTTATCGATTTTTTTTTGCAGAGTTCACCTACGGGGGTGGGAGTTGGCAGGGGGTAATCGAGCATGGGGATTCCGAATACGATATTAGTTTTCAGGATTATCGATTACTTTCATCGATTTTTATCGATTTTTTGCAAAGTTTGAGCTACGGGGCTGGGAGTTTGCACGGGGGAATAATCGAGCATGCTGATTACGAATACAATATTAGTTTTTGAAATCGTCCATCACTTTTATCGATTTTATCGATTTTTTGCAAAGTTTGAGCTACAGGGCTGGGAGTTGGCACAGGAGGGGTAAGTGGGCATGCTGATTTCGAAAACAACACAGGAAACGGGAAATGAAGTGTAGAAGTGGGCAAAGGGAAAGGCTGTACAGGGATAGGGATGGGACCTTTATTACAGTGTTTTCACAGGGCCGGGCGAAGCCGGGTAAGCAAGCTAGTTTATTATAAAGCTATTCTTAGCATTCACAAAACACTTTCTGTAACCTTGGCCATTTTTTACGGTACCATCCAATAGCAAGTTACCGTTACAATGAGAATCATACTCTGTTTTCAAACCAATCAACTTACAGCGAAACGTACATCAGTGCATATTGTACAAGGAAATCTTTCCATGTTCAAATTCAGTGCAGTGAGTACAACTATAACCATAGCTGTGTTATAAATGCAAATGAGCTAAATTTATTTGAACAATCCATATTTCCTCGTCTCTTTTTCCACCGAACAGAGTGTGAGAATTTTGGTTAACAGTGAATTACTATCTTCTATTGACTGTAGATGTATATAAACGGGAGGCCGCATGCTAGCACATCAACTCCTTTTCTTTTCTCTCCAACGCTAATAGCAGAGGAAGAATGTTGTTTCAATGCAATAAGTTCAAAGATCTTGAGAGCATTGTGAAGTTGTACAGAATTTGAAGAATATGTCCGCGTATCTTATTACTATCCTATCGCATCCTATCCTACTTAACTTTATATCCTACTGCTTTCATATCTATTTGCAGAAGCCTACAAATACAAGGAAAGAGGTTGCAATGCTTTTCGCGCTACTGGTAATTATAATCAAGGTTGCTTTGAATAATCCATGTAAAAAATGCACTTTAGCTCTGCTTAATCGCCATTCAAGGAACGATAGCAGGTGAGTATAGGCTCAAAAAGTATCCAAGCATGCACCAGTCTTCTAAAGAATGGACGCTTAGCTCAATATTTTGTTGCTCTAGCCACATGCAAGCTTCCCGCCGCACTAATTGAAGCAGCCACAACGGCTCATAACGACCTCAGAGCACAAGTTGCTAGACGTGCTTTGGACAAGGAGATTTACGGAGAACTGCCAGGGACAAAGAGCCTTTTCAAATTAGTAAGTCAAATTTGAATAAGTTGGTCAAGTTCAAATCATGATAGATACTAGTGAAATTGGGATTCTGGAACCTTCGTCGACAGGCCTTTCTGTAGGCTTTTAATTTTATAAGAGTTTACAGGAGTATGATTGTACTAATGAAGGATTTGCACAGTCAACTATTGGAAAAGATTGCAAACATTCATCAATCTACATGAGCGTGATAGGAAGAGGAGAAAACTTTATAACGTAAGCATACATTGGTCTACATGTGATTAGCGGTCAAGTACAATCAAGGGTTTTACGACTCACTTAGTACTTTTCAGATACAGAGCAGAGAGTAAGCCTGGTAACAAAAAGCTTGCTGAGATGCTTAAATGGGCCGTCGAAGATTGGAGTGACACTGTCGAAAGTCCTCTGAGCGCGGACGTCATGTACACAGATACGTCTATGGAACCTTTTGCTAATGTACGTTTCTATAATCATTTTGCTACTGAATCAAATTCACATGAAGGAAGGACATTTCGATCTCTATGCTTAACTTCCAGATGATTTATAATAAGACGTTGAAATTCGGGTGCTCTTACCAATTCTGTGAGGCCAACGGCAAAGTTGCTATCGCGTGTGTATACGAGAACAAGTAAGCTGACTAACGTAGTTCCAAGCACTTGCTCAAAATCGACAAGCAAACCGCTTCCACTAGCAGCAGAATGGATCCGTGTCAATCATGGCGCATAGATGCCGAGCATACATAACGCAATTCCATCGCCTCGTGATTCCCCCGACGAAATAACTGTTACGAGTCCATTACATGCCGATCAGCTTGCATTTCGTCCAGCTCGGAATTTTTGAATATAAATGAAAATGGATGAAGATCACGGCGTTTAAATCGTGACAAGACAACTGTAACAATATCATTGCATGCCGATCTTCTCGCATTTCGGTTGTGATAGTTCTCCAACACGACTAATCGTGACTCTATTAAAACCGAAATACAAGAAGATCGGCATGCAATGAACTCGTAATTGTTTGTTTTGCTGCAAGAATCGCGGCGATGAAACTGCATGAACTCTGCCCGAGGCGTTACATAAGAGCCTTAAGGGCCGGGCATACTTCACGCGATTTCAGTCGCGACGCGATTTGGCAATTCGCTAGAAGTCTTCGGATGCAACACTAGCAAACTTCACATGAATAGTTTGTATAATTTACATTATGGGTTCATAAAATGACCTATCTTCTGTACATTTGAATATGGTTACAGTGATTTAGGACAGTGAATATTGCCAAATCGCGTCGCGACTGAAATCGCGTAAAGTGTGCCCGCCCTTTAGTCAATCTGATTACAAAACCTATTATCTATAATAGCCAACACGCCTATTTGTCTTCATCCAATAACTTTTCTAGGCCGCAGCTGAATGAGCCACTGTATTCGGCAGACTCGACGGGCAAGAAAGGATGCACTAAGAACAGTCCATGTAACAAAGTAATCAAAGGCGCTGTTTGTGAAACAGCTAATGACACCGTTGGCCCTCTTTGCCAGAAAGAACCTTCCAGTAAGTGTTATTGCAAAC